TTTCTGACGACTCACCTATTGGGCACTTCAATGGGCTGGGATGTGGACGACCTAAATAATCTAGAGCTGGACAGTGGTGTACCTCAGACCAGCTGGTAGTCGCTGGACCGTGGCGAGTTGAATGAGATGGGATGGGGATGACCCTGGATTTGGTCTAAATAATCTAGAGCTGGACAGTGGTGTACCTCAGCCCAGCTGGTAGTTGTTGGACCGTGGCGAGTTGAATGAGCTGGGATGGGGATGACCCTGGATTTGGTCTAAATAATCTAGAGCTGGACAGTGGTGTACCTCAGCCCAGCTGGTAGTCGCTGGACCGTGGCGAGTTGAATGAGTGGGGATGGGGAAGACCCTGGATTTGGTCTAAATATTCTAGAGCTGGACAGTGGAATTATTTGAAATAATTTTTCAGTTTCATGTTCGTATTGTAATCATAGTCTGGCTACATGCATAATACTAAGACACGTGCCTACAAGTAATAGATGATCACCAATCACTACTTGATAATCTTCCTCTGATTATCTTAAATAGGTAATCTCCCTTCTTAAGACACATTCATTGATAAGTAATCATCGTTTTATAGTACTTCACTAATCACCTCTGATTGAGAGTAACCGAGGTTCTCTATATAGCCAGAAGTAGATAACAGAGGAAAAAGACATAAAAGCGCAGCCGTATTGCATTGCATAAGTCCCAGAAACCGAATTGTATCGCTGCACTTGCATAGATCCTAGAGAGTCTTATGTGTACTTCAAATAAGAAGAAATGAGTTGCCGATGATACTAAACAAGAGTACCCCAAAATGGCCAAAGGAAACGTGACTGACCACTCTATATCGAACTGGATACTCGATTGGCCTGTGCATATAGTCAAGGGCAGTGGACTGCACGCATGGTAGTAGTTTTTAGGCATAGTCCACTTCTCCATAGGCACTCCATGTTACCAAATGAACTAGAGTTGGTCCTGGAACGGCAGACGAAAAGGTGTTAGAGAATCTGAAATTAAATAGTTTGCTTAAGTTGACACTAGAAAATAAGGAAACTCATCTTTAACTATATAATTATATGTTTATTACATATATTATTCAGAACATACAACCATGTATTCAGCTAACTGTTCAATAAAGGAACTTTCAAAGATATGTATTTATTTTATGATGAAAAATGGCACTAATAGAATGTCTTCATTCCAAGTAGAATATGTTATATAATAATGTAGAAAATGGAAGTGATATTCTGAAAAGAGAAAAAAATACACTCATAACAATCTTAACTATAGGTATGTAACTACATTTTCAAATACTACAGACAACAATTAAGTCATTATTGTGATGTTTGATAACTCAAGTCCTTGTTAAAGACGTAAAGTTTAATCACCATGAAATAAGTGTGACATAAGTATTCAATATGGCGTGATGTACCTTCAAGGGACGTAACTCTAGTTAATAATACATAACATAACATAACTGTGGTCTGCATTATCTATGCAGTATCAAGTAATATCCTTACAATTATCATGCAGAGGTTATATCTGTAAGTTGTTTGCTCTCTCTTATTACCTACATGACACTATAGCCGCGTTTAGACAGCCACAATTTATCCGAGTACGGTTCGGGACAAAAAGAGGCGGTTCAAAGAATTGAAACGATATGCTGATGAAAGATTTGAGACGCTTGCAAACAGGATAGAAGAATGTGCAATCTCTCAAAATGAAGTGTCAGACATAGTTACTGAAAAATGTACCAAAATGGATGAAACGAACAATACAATTGAAACATTAAAAAATAAAATAATCAACCTAGAGGACAACATGAATGAGCTAGCGCAATACTCCAGGAAATCTCATATTCGTATTTTTGGAGTGCCGGAAAGTGAAGGGGAAGTTGAGATAGCCCAGGATATTTTCCGAAATAAACTCAACATACAGTTCGATCTCATTATAGACGCAGCTCATAGAGTTGGCAGATTTAATACCCCCGACCTAAGTAAACCTGGGGTAACGATCAGACCCAGAGGTAAAATCGTAAGACTTTTGAGGAGAGACCATAAGCAAGCCATAATAACGGCCAGAAGAAAACTAGCTGTAAGCTCCATATCAATATGTGAAGACATGACTCTTACAAATGTGAAACTTTTAAAAGAAACTCAAACATAAACAGATAAAAACGCATGGTTTACCAACGGTAAGATCAAGACTGAGGACTATAATGGACATGTTATTAGAGTTCAAACACAAACAAACATTAACGATGAAATTCTAAAAAACTAGAAATCGCAGCTAACTGACAAAGTGATATATTATATTGTAATACAATGTTTGCCTGATAAATAGAGTAATTATAACT